TACTTTGTTTTCAAAGTTGACATCACAAATGACTTTGATGATCGTATGTGACCACGTCCGTTGACTCGGGATGTCGGCCAGAAGCTCGAATTGAGTTTTGAGTTGCTGGCTCTTGATGAACGTCCACCGTTGCTATTCCAAGACGGTGTGAGCGGACGCTGGTGTTATGAGAAGTCCTTTGTTTATTTTACACTCTCTTACCAATTTCTACTTATTTATCGAGATCCATGATGAATCTGCACATACACCAAGCACTCTTTCTCATTCGAGCTAGTCCTCGTTGATGTGTAAGCTCAGGTGTCCAGTGGTCTGTCCAAGGCCGGCGGCCACCTCCTGCGGACGCTAACCACGACCGTGGCCAAGCAGCTCAAGCAGAGCGCCAAGGCCAAGCCATGGCTCAACTCGATCTGCCGCAGCGTCGGCCAGCACCAACATGCGATCAGGGTCAGATCCGCTGGGAAACGATCCAAAACAAGGAGCTGCCGGCTGACCAGGCCGTCGACAAGAGCTTCGAGCTCCTCGTCTTCTCGGTCGCGGGAGTACGACTGCTGCAGTGCCAAGGCGAATGAGCTCATGGGCAGCAACGAGTGCACGTTCTAGCGCCTCTAGCCGGTCCTCATGTCGATCCATGACCACCCCACCGAAACGCGCTAAAATATACTAGTATCTATACTAGTATGCACAAACTTTGCAGGACGATTCTGTATCCAGAGCCCAATTGCTGTATGCGGCTGTTTCAGAGCACCATAAAGGACGCGACTAATCGCTACAGACCAGTAGTCGTCGGTCTTGTGACTGCAGGAGCTGCACTGAGTCGTCGAGCTCTCAAAGCACCAAAGGAGCGAGGGTCGCTTCGAGTGGGGCTGCTGGGCGCTACGTCCTCGCTACCTCGTGAGCAGCACAGCTGGGAAAAGGTCGGCGGAGGTTAGCAACCGCCCAAGACGGTGCGCTTGCCACGTGCAATCGACTGCCGAAAATATGGTGTTCAGCATACGGCGGCCAATCACATCGTCTCGCGCTTTGGCGAGAAAAAGAAAAGGTCATGTCGTAGCCGTCGCCAAAGATGGCCTGCATGGCCTCTCTACCTCTCTACCGTTGTTCTCGCTTTCGATCACATTGACCACCAAATCGACATATATAACCTTTCAGACTCTTTGTGATGCGAAGGCTACCAAAGCCCCAGGTAGCGTGTCCACACACGACTGTCGAAAGCCGACAACAACAACCAAATTCCCGGTAAAACGTCGGCGAGATATGGCAATAAGCCGGCGAATATCTACTTCAAGTACCACGCTGTTGGTGTTTAAAACATACGTTTTACACACAAACAGGTGTTGAAAACAGCTCATTTCCAAATCCGCCAGACAGAGTGCAAGCACGATTGGCATCATGCCGACCGGCTTTACGGACGTCCTGCAGTCGGACGACCTCCTCCCGCTCATTGCGCGCTTCTCCAACGGCGTAACGCAGGACGTATGCGCGCTCCGTCGGGCCTGCCGTGGCTACTCCGTGGCGCCCGGCCGCGCCCCGTACGCCGCCTTCCAAGCCCTCTTTGAGCCGTGGTTTGCTCGACGGGGCACTCTTGAGCTTCATCAGCTCTGCCAAGTGCACCTTTTCGTGTACGCCCTCGACTTTGCACACATGGAAGTGCTGCGATGGTTCGCAGCGGAGCACCGCATCACGTCCGAGCTGTACTTCCAAGGGTGGCAACTCGAGTTCCCAACGGCGTCCACGAACCACTGCCCCGATCTCGCCATGCCCCACTACAAGACGGTCGGGTCGTCAGCGATCTACACGCATTTCTACACCGTGCGCAATGCGGCGATCCGCAACCACGTCGACATCCTTCGCCTGTCGTTGAACCTCCGCTGCGATATGCGCTTCGTCTGGGAGGAGGCTTGCCGCCATGGTCACTTGGCTGTCGTCGAGTTTGCCCAGCGCGAGGAGGTTTCCGGCTGGTTGTCTCGCTACGTCAACGTGGCAGCGCTAAACGGTCACTTGCATTTGATCAAGTTCTTCCATGAGCACGACTACAACGGCTTCAACAAGGCGACGATTGAAGCCGCGGTCCAGAGCGGCAACCTCGCGCTCGTGAAGTTTCTTTTGAAATAGCGGCTCGAAGGGACGCTCCAGGACGCCATGTGCCAAGCCGCTGCGAGCAGCAAGCTCAACATTCTGCGCTGGCTCGTCACGCAGCGGAACGCGTCCCAGCACATGCACAAGGTGCTCGAGACTGCAGGCATCAACCGTTGCGAGCACGTTCTCGCGTACCTTTGGCATGGACATGGCATGCAACTGACGCCGCAGTCATCGGCGCGCGTCTCGCGCCGTCGGCAGCGTGAGCATGATGAGCAACCGAGTCCAGCGCAATCGACACGAGAGGCGTCGCTCCGTGTGAAACGCTGTGCCAACAAGTAATTCGTCCTCTCGTCGCGTCGCCTTGATTCGTTTGTCTCCTTGAAGTCTACTAATAGTTTTTGTATTTCTGCAGGTTGTGTTGGCATTTCCGTAGCCTGTCGTACACCTACTAGTACGGACAAGCGCCGAGACCAAAGGAATTTCCTTATTTGCTATTTGGGGATTCAGTGCTCTCCTGACCGTAGTAGTATGCTGCGCCGTGGATAGCGACGACGCCTTGACGGAGGAGATTGCCGGGTTTCGTTTCGGTCGATTCTTTGAGGTACTTGTTGAGGTTTGAGCGAATCCTTGAAAAACGTTGTGAATGGATTTGACTGACACCTTGCCAGTCTTTTTCGGACGCTCGTGACCTTCGCGTCCGCGGGACGAAAGATGGCTTGATCGCGGAGTTGTTCGGGCAACATAAGGACGTACGCTCCTTGCGTTAGAACGGCCTTGGAGGACATGACGGAGAGCGAGTGAAACGCTCAGAAAAAGTCCTTGCTGCCGAGCAGGGGAATGCTGAACTGAGAGCCGTTGGGCTCCGTCCGTTTGCTGCTCCCTGCCCTAGTGGTAGAAAATCTCGAGTCTAAGCTGCGCTACGAAACTCACACTCTCTCCGTGTGCAGCTCACTCCCTACGATCAAGTGCTCGTGCCAACTCCGACGCATTCAGGCGTATGCGAAGTCTTTGTAGTGACGAAGATGACGCGAACATGTTCATATTTATATCAGCGCAATACGTATATTTTCGCGCCCGTGGAAACATAGATTCGCCAGTTTGGTGCGCAGAAGCACATGCGCTTGAGATCTTGGCGAGTCTCGAGGCGCGGCTACGATTGGACTAATGACCATAAAGTACGTCGGCACGAGCTGCTCCATGGACCGGTACCCGCCGCTGGCAACGCGAGGTGGTAGCTTCGCTGCTAGTCGTGAGATGCAGTCATGCGGATGTAGCACGTGACCAGCGTCGCGAGATACCACACCGAAGCCAACCAAGGCGTGTGTGGCGGGCTTACCAGTCGCCTCATCGGCTTACCAAGAGCGTGTCAAGACCGCATCCGTAAGGCTGCCTGTCAGTGCGCATCACGGCAGGACGCGCGTGTGGCGTAGCGAGTAGTAGCCGGCTGGCGGGGACGCAGCGGAGGACACGAGGCTTTTGTGCCGGGTGTCGTGGCGCCATATCAGCTAGGTCGGTTTTATACCGTTTAGAACAGTGTAGAGCACGGATGAATCAAACACATCGATAGTTTTTATGCTTCTATTTGTAAGAGTATAAAACAGATGTACGCAATTGCACTGTTTTATACTTGATGCTTTTGCGCGCGCTCGACGAATGACACGCATGAGTATGGCGCCGGCAACGAGGCGGCGGAGACGCCAACGAGCGCTTTATCTCACACGGGGTGCAGTACGTACCCCCATAGCCACATCTATCCTCCAGGAATAACAATAACTACGATCATCGACATGGGCGAGTCGGTGCTTGGTACGCGCCAAGCTCAGTACTATCGTGAACGAGGCGACGGCCACAGCCACCTTCATTTCGTGGTCTGGTGCATCGTTTGAGGACGCTGCGGCACTCGGCGTCGTCCTTGATTAGGACAATAAAGCCATTT